TGTACCTCTGGTGCAAATTACTGACCTCTGTCATCATTTTAAGTGGGGGAACTTGCACAATCGGTGGCTGACTAAATACTTTTTTGCCCCACTGTATGTAGATGGTAACAGATACAAAGAAAGGCATTGCAGATGAGTTTTGCTAATTGGTGCAGACCAACTCAGATTGATTGCAACATTTTGTCAATCTGTCTGCAATTATAAATTAGACAGCAATTACTTACAAACCTGCACCAATCTGTCTGAGAGTGACTGCAGTCAGTCTGAATCAGATGGTGATTGGCTGGAGACACATTGCCTCTCACCAGATGACCCACACAATCAAAAATGGTTGCCCAAAGGTCGAAGGTGTTGCACATTCAACCTCTGGAGAATTGTAGTGAGGACTGCCCTAATGTATGGTTTGAAGACAGTGGCACTAACAAAAAGATGGGGGGCCAAAATGCAGGTGACAGAGTTGAAGATATTGAAGATCCTAGGAGTGACCAGCATGGACACGATGAGAAATGAGCACAACAGCTCAGGCTGCAAGGAAGAAGTTCATGGAGAGCAAGCAGAGGGTTGGTGTGACAGTGGATGGACAGAGGATGTGAGGGATAGAGTGAGATGGAAGCAGATGATCCGCTGAACTCTGAAGGAAGCAGCCGAAAGAAAAAGAAAACACACAGACCCATCTTCTCATGACTAATAGAGCCTGTACTCGACAGACTGAATTTTAAAGAATCAGACACACTGCTCAGAATACTAACCAGCTATTTTTGCCTATTCCTATTATTTCTGTGGAGGTAAGCCACATTTGTCACATCCCAACATTTACAAATTTAAATCCCTTATCACTTTATGTTCTTAAAACTTTTCTGCCCCCTGTTGATATAGGGATTGTAATTTGAATGTATGGTTTTGCTCGACTAAATGCTATAAAGGGTAAAAAAAGGATTTTGTGGAATGACTGGGGGCTTCATGTTGGACCAAAGTGTACGTGAAAGGGCTCTCTGTGATTAAAGCGTGCCAAAAGAATTACACATTATCTGACCATTGATGGGATTCACCTTTCCTAGGCTGAGTTTGGCACCTATTAGCACCAGGGGGGATGAACACCTGATTGCACTTATGTTCTTTATCGATATGCTGAGCCTCAGAGTGAGTGATTTTATTATTAGTTCTCAGTAGCTGCAGCATTCTGGCTCCACTCTTGGAAGGTTAAAGAGGCCATTACTGCTGTTTCCCTTTGCTTCCAACAAATGCCTTCAAAGCTCTCTGAGCTCTCTGAGCACTGCCTCCTTCAGCATACAGTACAATGCTAATGAATTCTCTTTGAAGGCGGAGCCTGTCAGAGGATGCGCTTTCTTCTTCATTACCTTGTCAGTCACCACGCTTTTTCCATCCCAAGCCCAGCCGCGCTTTGTGAAGTAATTGACAGTAGCAAATTCAATCAAAGCGGAGAAGACGAAGGCATAGCACACGGCGATGAACCAGTCCATGGCAGTGGCGTAGGCGACCTTAGGCAGGGAGTTCCTTGCGCTGATACTCAAAGTTGTCATTGTGAGAACAGTAGTTACACCTGGAAACACACACAAGCAGATAGCCAATAATATGAGCTCTGGCAATGTTTATTAAGGTTTTTTCTACTGTAATACACATTCTGCTACACAATACTTTAATAAAGCAGGGGAACAAAGTGAGGCATATGAAAAGAAAATCATTTTATTTTTTCTTATTTCGTATAACTTTTAATATTTCTTCTGGAGCTCAGGAGATTTGGTGTTTTTATTTCTTTCTGTGAGCTAACCAGTGATGAGTCACTAATATTACTTTCACTTGGCTTACAGTCAGGTCAAGCAGTAGCGTAGCCAACTGGATTTAAAAGCAGTGGGGCCTGTAAGAACTGCCCCCACCCCCTTCTCATTATTCCATTTTCTTTTGCACAGAATTTCCCATCAACTTCCAACAATTCCCTATATTCAGTGTTAATTTTTGACAAAACTAGGGAAGGTCTTACTGCCATTGCAGCACATGCATAAAACCCAGCATCTACAACAGTCAGCTCAAATTACACTGGTGCTAACAATCATCATGTATGTCATATATGCTTACCAAACACAGTCCTAGCTGGCACTGATTCTCTATTCAGCCAGAAAGACACTTGGGAAAGGATGACTGTCATGATGCATGGGAGGTAAGTCTGGATAACAAAGTAGCCAATCTTCCTCTTCAGATGAAATTCAGCCGTCATCACTGTATATTCACCTGCAGACGAGAATCAGGTTTAATTACATGATGCAAAGAATTCAGCTTCTTGATTCACTCTGATTTCTTGTCATCAAACATATACTCTTACTGGCCACTTTTTAAGTACATCGTTTCAACTCCTCATTCAACTTGGTGCATTTAGGCATCTAGACTTAGTCAAGATGACTTGCTGATCATCAGAATGGGGAAGAAAGGTAAGTTAAGTGACTTTCATCTATTACTTTGGTAACTGGGTTATTATTCATAATGAAAACACTTTTCTTTCATCTATATATCTATCAGTGTAAAAATAGTAAAACTGGAGTGAGGGCCATGATGAATGAGTGTGTCAAGTGTTTTAACCCACACAAGTAGAAACAATATCTTCTTACTCCAATTTAGCTATGCAAGTGCAAACCCACGCCTTCCTGTGCCTGTATATTTATGCAATTCACATTGTTAAAATATTATATTTATATCTCAAGCTTTAAGACAACAAAGCAGTATTAAACATAGATTAACTGTCAGCAGTGCACAGTGGATATACAGTAATAATCCATCAACACATGCAAAAGTAGGCAGTAAGAGTTCCCGGCCACCAAGCAAAGCCTAATAGCTGACAAGGCGGTGAAACCGTGCCAGTGCTGCAGTATCAGGCAGTCTTTTCAAACAGAAGATATCTCAAAGAGAAGCCAAGATTAGGCATGGGAAGAAAAAGATGTGTTACCAATGGCAACAGAACAGAGAAACATAGCTCATTTGCTATGATTTTGAAATGAAGGCCTTGATATACGCTGCCACTTGGCAAGAGGAAAGTCTTTTTCAGCAGTGGGAAGGAGGGGGTAGAAGGGATATCAATTCCACAGAATAATCCCCAAAGATTTTTTTTTGTAATATTCCCTCGCTTTCTTTAATAGCACTGTAGATGTGCTGCTTGTATTTCTAGCAGTTACGTGAAGACTTATTCTGTCTTTGACACAGGCATACGTGCTAGCACAGGAATTTGGAGGAATCGAGTGCACTGTCAGTACTCTCTATGGAGCACTGTATCTTCTGTAATTTAATTTGCATGCCGGTCCAGTGCTTGTGTTGTGGAATGGGGGAAGGGGATGTACAAGCAAGGATATGGATGCTGATGAGTCTTCTCTGGAAAAGCTTGGGATCACTTCACTTAGAGGGAAGACAATTATAGCATGAAGATAGTAATCCTGTCATGTTCAATTCAATTCAATTTAATTTTATTTATATAGCGCCAAATCACAACAAAAGTCGCCTCAAGGCGCTTTATATTGTACAGTAGATCGCACAATAATA